TGTGAAATTGTTTGTGGTGTTTACTAGATGGGCATCATAACTGATGCAAAGTATTTTTTATATTTAAGAGTTATATTAAAGACTTTTTTTTTTGAGAAATACTGCATATGTTTTTCTTATTTATCCTTTTGTTCGGTGCACGTTTTCCTATCATACATTTTCTTTTGAAGCTAAATTAGGTGAACACTTGTCTCAGGATGTGTACAACTTGTAAGTCAGAGAGAGTTATATTTCTCTATGTTTTTCTAGATCTGTTGGCATTTCACATCTTTTTTTTTTTTTATTTAAGTGGAATTGGAATCAGTATATCTTCATTCTCATAGCACGAGATTCCAATTATCTTTTCTCTTGGTGAACAGTAATTGATGCTTCCTTAAAAAGAAAGAAATAATGTTCTTAAATTCCTATTAATTTTTTTTTTTTTTTGCACCTCAACGTGATTAACTGTGAAAATATATGAACTTGAGGCAGTTACAGTAACTGAAGGCTTCTGTCTCTTGGAATTTTGGAATTAGATCTTGCTGACTTTATTGCAATAGTATCTAAGTCGAACAATGAATCTAATGTTGTTGCTTGTGTCATATACTTATGTGATAAAGGCTTCTGAAGACACTAGAGATCAGACTCATCAAGAAGTTTAGTCCTCAATATGTCAGAACCTATAATATGTGAAGTGGTTTTGTTACTGGGTGGGGAGAAAGAAGAAAGAGCTCAAAATAGGAAAGTAAAAAAAGTAAAAAACGAACGTCTGTGTTAGGAAATATTCCATTATTAGTAAGATTTAATTGTGGCTGAAAACTAAAATCTATCTAAAAGGTCTGTAATACCTTACTTTTTGTATACTTCTTCTCACAGTTAAGGTATTTAGCAAACAATTAATGTGCCATTCTGGGGTTCTAGAAAGAACCATAATTTTTTCTCGCTTGGTTGAACTTTAGAGAGTGGCTTTACTGCAATTTTGAAAATTCAGCAGAAAGAGGACGTGCACATGCACCCTGCAGCAGTGGGGCCGTTGCAGCACCAGGAGGCTGATGGCCTCTTTTTCCCAATCCCATCTTTCTCCTAAAGCCCTGTCTGGTATGACAGGTATTTGAGGACTGTTGTTTACGTCATTTCAGCCTCAAAGGCTTAGCAGCAGAACTAGAAACTTCCTCTTGGTTGGCACCTCTGCAGATGATTTGAGAGGAAGGACAGGTCTTCCCGCTCCCCTGGCCCAGGCTGGAGTTGACACCTGACCTGCCAGTTCATTATTACATTCTTTGCAGAAAAACTGACTCAGTGGTAATAGAAACTGCATTAATTACTAATAATAGGGAATAATTAATAGGGATAGTTTTGTATTGATACAGCTTCTGATATCTCATGGCTTTTTATTGATAGGTATACGTGGGGAGATCAACGTGGTGGTGAAAGTAGATCTCTTCAATGACTTAAACAGATTTAGGCAGTCATCCTGTGGAGTCAAATTTTTTTGCAGTAAGTAGAGAAAAAAAAGTTCATTGGAACAGAAAACCTCTCTCCCATTTTTCTTTCTTTACCTGTTCTGTCAGTCTCCCTTGTATTGCCAGCTTGTTGCATAAGCTCAGTGAAGATTACATTGAAGCCAGTAGAAAATGCATAGAATTGTTTGATTTGCTTTTTGTTTTTAATACATTTTTACTGTCCATAGTTCAAAACAACATAAATAACTGATTTTTTTTCTTTCTTTATTTATTTAAGTTCCATTTCAATGTCTGTGAATAATACATAGTGTTATTTTGGGTCTATATCTTGTTAGAGAGACACAAAGTGAAAAGGTTTCATAATGGCACATGTTGTAACTGAATCACTGGCCAGTTATCTTACTGGTGTTCCATGGTCTCCCAGAACAAAGCTGCCTGGGCACGTCCACATTTTCCCAGAAAATCACGTGGATAACTTTCTGGAATCGTTCACATCCCTTTTTATATGTAATTTTATTTTTTCTTGTAATTCTTGGCTCATAGACTTATGTCTTACATCTTTTATATATATTTTTTTAACAGCTACATCTATTCCTAAGTGTTACAGAGCAGTAATAATTCATGGATTTGTGGAAGAACTTGTAGTTAACGAAGACCCAGAATACCAGTGGATAGACCGAATTCGTACTCCAAGGGCATCAAATGAGGCCAGACAAAGACTTATTTCACTCATGTCAGGTATTAAATCATGTAGGCTGTCATGGTTATTGCTGCTTTTAAAAATATTCACCATTTAAATAACTGCCTTGCTTAAGATTGTGTGTGATTTTTGGGATTAATTATGTTTGTTTTTTTTCAGTTCACAGTGTCTTCTCTTTCTGAGGATTGTACTGTTCTAACTGATGGCCAGTACGGCTGACTTTTTTTCCCCCCCTTCTTTGATGAAGCCATCCTGCTTCTAATTTGTTGGTTGCTTGTAGCAAGGTCAAAGAAACCTGTGAAACTTTTTTGAAGATGTTCTTAACTCATATGAGGAGTATTACTAGAATTTTAACTCAAACAGTTAAAATAATGAACAACTCTACTCTCTTTAGACTACTTTGAAGTATGTGAACAAATATACACCATCTGAGATACAGTGTGCATTAATACTGGTGTTATTCATCCCGTCTGATTGAAGCTTGGGTTATTGTTCTGTGAGGAAAGGCTGAGAGAGCTGGGATTGTTCAGCCTGGAGAAGACTTTGTAGTGGCCTAATTGTAGCCTTCCAGTACCCAGGAAAGATGGAGATGGATTATTTACCGGGCCAAGAGTTACAGGAAAAGGGGGCATGGAATCAAACTGAGAGTAGGCTTAGATTAGATATTAGGAAGAAATTCTCTACTGGAGGCACTGGAACAGGTTGCCCAGAGAAGCTGTGGATGCCCCATCTCTGGAAGTCTTCAAGGCCAGGTTGGTTAGGGCTGTCAGCAAGGGGTTGGAACAAAATGATCTTTAAGATCCCTTCCAACCTAGGACATTCTGTGTTTCTATCATTCTGATATCTGTATTGCCTTGCACTGATTCTGCACAACATATTTACAGTTCCTGGAGAGACCAGTGATTAGAGTCAGTTGTCTCCACAGTGTCAGGTACAGAACAAAACACCCTTGTGCCCTTGGTAATTGCACACTAAGAGACAAGAGGCAGTCAATTCAAGATGGATAATCTTGAAGGTGTAAGGAACAAAAAGAAATGAAACATAGACACCAGGATGATAGGCAGTGGTTTCAGTTCTATGCTTGGCTCTTAATGTTGTTGTGTTTCTTGTAGATACAGCTGTGTTTTAAGAAAGGTACTAAAATAAATAGTGAGTTGAGTTTTGCAAGCATGTGTGGAGATCTTTAGTAGTGGGGCAACGTAGAAGAGGTCATGGAGATGTTACTCAGTGTCTTCACTGTGAAAGCACATTTTGAGGAAATAAAGTGGAAAAAACCTATTGTCATAACTGACATGAAGACACTTTTAATATAGCTTCCTGTTAATTTACAGGATTAAAATTTGCATATCTCTCGTCTTGCACAAACAGTGCAAGTGGATAAAGTAGCACATGTGGAAGTGTTCTGTTAGATTTTATTAATGGAAGTGGTTAAGAGGAATAAAACCAAAACACCTCACAGCAATACTGTTTCATGTCATGTGATAAAATGTTTCACATTGCAATCCGTTACTGATGGCCACACCTGGAGAATCCTGGAGAAATCTGTAACTTCTGAGAGTGAGCCAGGCTGTTTTACAGGTCTGTGTCATGTTATGTGTTGTTTATATTAAAAAGAATACGGTCTCAACCTTGGCTTGGATGAAATCCCTAGCACTTTTCACTCAGCTAGGAACTTCATACACTACCTCAATCTTCAAGATTTTTCAGGACCGGTACAGCCATGATTTCAATTAAGAAGTTTTGCAATAATAACCTGTGCTGGTAATTTTAAAATCAAACTTCAAGAAAGCAGTAGAAACCAGGGGCAGGAGTTGGGCTTTGATGATCCATGTGGGTCCCTTCCAACTCAGGATATTCTATGATTCTGTGACCATTTCATTCCACTTGAGTTCTCAGCAGCAGTGACATTGTTAGGGCTGTCCTTTGTGACAGTGAGGATTTTTCAGTTTGTTAACAGAGGATTTTGGAAGTCTTTAATTGTCATCATAAGAGAGATACTTTCTACCTAAGTATGACCAAAACAATCTAGCTACATAGATCCATTAAATATGGTTTTTTTAAACATCCTGCTAAGTAAGCAGCAATAACACACTGTAACACTGTGTTACAGTCACAGTCTTTCAGTCCTTATGTGCAGCTAAAAGAGAAGTGGCAATCTTTTGTTTGCAGTGGGAGAGGGCAAAAAGTATGAATTAGGTTGAAATACGCTTGAATAAGTTTGTAAATAAAGAAATTATAGATGCCTATCCACATAGGTGTCAAAAATGCATTGTTCTGAACTGTGTGGAGTATTTAGAAACTTACCTGAGTTCCAGGACACATCTTGACTGTCTCTTTCTGTAAATAAACAGAAAAAGGAAAAAACTAATGAAAATAAAAAGTAGATGGGGAAAAAACCTGAAATAACATGTTATTTTGGCAATCAGAGTGGATATGGAGAAAAAAAAAGAAAAAAGTTATGCAAGACATTGGTATCACACTATGTTATAAGAGGCAGAGGTTGTGACCAGCTCCTTGGCATAATTGTGTAGGGTTGCATTTATTACCTGTTCTACTGACTTGGTTGGCAATTCCAAAAGCAGAGGTCAAAGACCACGAAAGAGAATAGGGAAAGTTCACTGCAATTATGAGCTCTTTACCTTTTGTTTTGTAGGTGAACTGCAAAGGAAGATTGGCTTGAAGGTGCTTGAAATGAGAGGAAATGCTGTTGTTGGTTATTTGCAGTGTTTTGATTTGGAGGGAGAGTCTGGACTGGTAGTGCGAGCCATAGGAACAGCCTGCACGTTGGATAAATTAAGTAACACATCAGCATTTTTACCTGCATGTAACTCCCCATCCAAAGAAATGAAGGAGTAAGTATGAATTAGTAGCTTGCAGGGAAACAAGTTTCACCTCTCTTCTCTTCATACTCATTCAGTTTTTTACATAACCGATGTGATTTCTTTTTTTCCCCAGAATTTGTTTTCCTTTTGTAGTTTTATTTGTCGGCAACTCAGTTTGTATTCCACAATTTTGAAATGTTTTAGGTTGGATTACTTATGTTATTTCAATAGAAGATGGAGTGGTAATCCTTACTTAAGATGACTTTTGAATTCATGTAGCAACAGTATTACATATCCTTGGGTTGTGATCCACCAGTTTAACTGATCATTAGTTCTGCTTTGACTCTGTGTTTGTACAATAAACATTTCTGTGGGGGCTTCTCAGGGTATACCTTTGGTTCAAGTTTGAGTGTGTATGCTGACCATATAAGAAGATATAAATTTTGAATTCAGACAGTTCTGTCAGTGATTTAGACAATGACCCCAAAAAGGTCTCATCTTTTGTTGTGTGCTTTCCTTTTTACTGTTGCAAAACAAGTAGGACTATGGCAAAACAGGTAGACAGTGAACTTGCAGAGAAAACTTTTTATGATGAGAGGTAGAATTTCATGATCTTTGTTGTATCTGCTGCAGCACCAAACACAGTTTGAATGCAATTTTTTGATATGCATACAGATTAATAGAAGTATACTTGCGGTCTTCTTCAAACTGTTAACTGTTAACTACTTGGATAAATTTTCTGTTTGCTAGAGCAATCCAATTTCTGGAAGGAGAAAACAGCACAAAAAATTGTCCTACATATGCTGTGTTTCTAGAGGTATTGATTAAAGTAGCCATTTTCATTAGTTTGAACTGTTGTGTCCTGGCAGTAGAAATTAGGTATTTTTGTTGTGCAGGCATCAACTGCTCTGCAAAATATGCTCTGACTTCTAAAAATTACTGGTTTCTATTTCAAATAATAGCTTGTTTACCTTGTCTTAATTTAAAAAATTGCCATCAAAAGAACTACTGGATACAGTGCAGCATAAAATAACAGCGGTGATTTAAAAGGAAAAAAGGTAGACCTGGTAATTATCAGCCTAAAAAGCATCCATGAATAAATCGGTAGCTTTCGCTCTGCAGCAAAATGTGGAAATTCCACCTCCCAAATTATCCCTGTTCAGCTTGATGGTGGATACTGACTCAGTTCAAAAAATGGGCGTGTTTCTCTAAAGCAGCAAAATCAACTAATACTTCTTATTCTTGGCTTTACTAACTTGATGCCCTGTTGCCAGAGAATCAATTATGCATTCACAAGCTAGTGCTTTAAGCTGTTCCTTTCCCTCTTTTTATTTTCATCTGGACTCTTGCATGCTAGGAATTTAAATTCTTAGAGTCTGCTTAGAGTAAGAGATCTCTTCTAGCTAAACTTCCCTGAAATCATTGATAACATAACCTTGCAACCTGTTTGTATGTATTGTTTTCTTTTCTTCCACCTTGGCCGCAAATTCTCTCAGGTCTCCGCTGGTTCATCCGCCAAGCCATGGATGCCGCTCGACTCACAACAGCCCAATTCACACTGCTACTGGCTCACGACTTACTCAGAACTTCTCTGTGTCTGTTCCCACTCTCATCTACACTGGTACGAGACTGCTCAGACTCCAGAGCTGGGGAGAGGCAGGCCACAGGCACAGTGGTCGCAAAGGGCAGGCAGGCAGGCAGTGTAGGCAGGTACCACCCATCCTTCCTCCCTCATTTTCTCATGGAGACACCTCCTGTTGTCAGTGAAGAACTGCCCAGTGTGCAGCTGCTGAAACAAAGGCAGTAGTTTCTTGGAAATGCATCGGAGTCTCTTCCACAAAGCCACGCTCTTCATTTCATTTTACGTGCTTGCTTCCTGAGAAATTCAGTAAAAATTAAGTTGGTGTATCTGGGAAATGTTCACTATTGTACAGTCACTGGAGAAAATCATGTTTTGATTCGAGTTCATAATTACTTTCAAGCATAATTCTGATACAGTATTTAGGTTTTAAACTGGTTATAGGAAGGGTCTGTGCCATTTGTGGAAGAGATGGTTTTAGAGAGCAGGTAAGTCAACCTGTGCATAAGTGAACTGTTTGTCAATATAGTTGTTCCCATAAAGATTCTCCTCTTTGCTCTGTTTTTAGCTGTGGCATGCTGCTGCTGCTATAGGATAAGGAAACGTTGTTTTTTTTTCCTTTAAATGCATATGTGTGTATATACATAAATGTATAAATATGTATAAACACAAATATAATTTGAAATCATTTTTTCTTTATTAAACTAACTCAAAGCATTGTGTACTTGACCAGATTTTTAAGCCATAAACTTTTCAATTTTTTTCTTTTGCATATATATATATATATGATTTTTTTGTCACATCTCACGCCTTTCATTTGGCTTAATTGTTTCATTGTAGATTATCAGCATCTACCTGTAGAATGCTGAATGGGTAAAACAGCATTTCTTTGCCTCTGGCCTCATCCCCAGTCTCGCACCTAAGGAATAGCTGCTGGCCCTGCCCCAGTCCCATCCTGGTGTTTGGATCATGCTGCTGTCAGCCAGGTCCTTTGGCACAGGATTACTGAATATGTTTCCACCTTCTTCTGGCAGGATTCCTTTCAATGAAGATCCCAATCCCAATACTCATTCATCAGGACCCTCCACCCCTCTGAAAAACCAAACCTATTCCTTTTCACCTTCCAAGTCCTACAGTCGACAGTCCTCTTCTTCTGACACAGATTTGAGTTTGACACCCAAAACTGGTAAGGCGCTTCCACCCACTTTTTGTTTAATTTGTGTTTCTCTTTTTATATTTTCATTCAACCCCTTTTTGCTTTCTGGCATTTAAGTTATCAAAATGATGTGGAAATTGGAGACTTCACATAGCACACCTCAAGCTCAAAAGGGTTTCTGCAGGGCAAAAATTTCAATCCTGCCTGTATTTCCACTGTCCTGGATAACATTAAAATTACTTGTGTAACACAACTGTATTCAAGCCACAATAAAACATCTTGGAGCATTAAGGGAGTCCTAAGTAATTGCCTTTTTCGTATTTCCTCCATTTCATATCACAAATCATGGGAGTACATTTCTCACCTCAGTATGTCAAGGATGGTGTTTCTAAAACTATGTAGTCTTCAGGCCTCATGCGTTGTGCTATAAATATACTGCATACATTTTCTGTTTTTGAACTCTTTTTTGCAAATGCAGTACTAGAAACCTAGCAGCTGCTGTCTTTTTGTTCTCTTGGTGTGTGGAAATGGCTTTACATACACAGTATACACTTTGAAAGTAACTTAAACTGCTTCACACGTAACTCCAACCATCTTCAAAAAACGTTTTCCTTTCTCCATTGGTCTGTCATAATTTTTTCAACTTGTTGTTTCTTCCCTCCTTCTTTTTTAGTCTGTGGTTAGAATCATGTTAGTAATAATGTCAGCACAACTTCAAAGAGTGTCTGTTTACTCTCCATTATGTGACCAAGGCCCTGAATTTTGCTACCGTAGAGCAGAGTATTTTGCAGAAGTGTTTATAAAAGTTTGGTTACTTTTCAAATGATGTTTTAAATTGTGGTATTTGAAGCTCAGAACATTCTTGTCTCCATCTAATTAGACAATTTTTAAGTATATTAAAGCAGATGATTCAGTTTTACTTGATAGCACCCCTTTCAAGAATTTTTCCTAGGAGATAAGTTAAATGTTGCATTCAAATGGAGTTGTATTAAATATTTTACCTGGTTTATTCCCTGGATATCTGTTAAAACTGTTCCCAATTAGGAAGCTGTCTTTCTCAGTGCTATCTTCTCTGTCCCATTTTTAAAACAAACAGGCAAACAAAAGCAGTTTATTTTTTTCTGTCTTTATTTTTAAATTGTGACTGTTTTGTGGATGGTCATCACTTGTTTAAAGGACATACAGATATAACTGGATGCTTATGATATAGAAGAACCATAAATTCATGTGTTTGGTTTACTGAATATTTGAAAACTCTTTCATTTTTTCGTATTTTCCATGGTAAAGATCATTTCATGTAAAGGATTTAAATATAACATAGGTGGTCATCTTGATAGATGTAAATGTTCTCAAATTAGGAAAGTGGCAACTCGGTGTGAATTTGTTAGGGTTTTAAAGCAGCAGCCTTACATCATTGCTGGCAATATTATGGAGATGGATGGACCCTTTTGTCTTTAGTCAGTTCATTCAGAACAGAAACAGATTGTGTAACTGGTAACTCTTATTTTCAGGGAGTTTTCAAGTATGTGAAGATACTTTTTAGCTGTCTTTTTAGTACTAAATCTAACAGTGAGCCCAGTTTTGCTTACCAGCACTGTCTTTTTAGCAGCTTTTAACTCTGCTGCTGAAACTTTTCCCAAAAGGATTTGCTGGTTGCATATAAAGATTCCATATCTTGGTTATGACAAACTCGATTTTGAATCTTAATAGATTAAAAGGACAGTTTAATGACAGTTTAAATGATTCTTGAGTCATTCATGTTACCTTTCACCAAAAATGTGGTGATGTGCAGAAGCTGCTCATATAACATACTAAACTCTGTATGTTTTTTTTAACAATTCCCTGTATGTGTTTAGACCTCTGTTTTTTGTTTCCCAAGACTGTTGCTAAGTTGGAATATTTCAGTGTGAAAATAGGTGATGTTAGTGTTTAAAAAAAGTTAAAGAAATGTAGACTTCTCATGTGGCACTTCAAACATTATCAGATTCGAGATAACCAGTACTCGATTTGGCTGATGTGAAAAATGAAGTATTTTCTGATATTTCTGCAGTATATTATATTCCTCTTTATTTCTCAGTCAGGTATTTTGTGTGTTCATGTGTCTAGGATGGAGACTGACCTGGAGAAAGAGTGCAGATACCACAATTTCACGATAGGAGTTAACAAAATAGAGGAGGTTGAAACTTGGGTCTGCTTAAGCATCTAGTTTTCAGTGGCTCCAAATCAGGAGAATGTTACATTAATGTATTTTGTAAAATACAACTGTGCTTGTGTTATCCATTCTGGTCTATAAATACACATGCTGAGAAAGCTTATTTGGGTTTGAAGTGAGTAGTGATAGATTTTCTGCCACTGCAAATGAACAGAATCAGGCTGATGAAAAGCATGACCTATTTTAATCCAGTAATACATTTGGATGTCACATAGTATATGTTTGGAGGAAATTCAGAAGGTGGGAACTCCTTTTCTTTGTGGGAACTTAGAATTCTACAAGATCTATTACTTTAGAAAATCATAAACCAAATCCATGACCTCTCTGGAAAATAACTTTTTCTACCTAAATAATGAAACTAATCAGATTAAGTGTGTGCAAAGACTATGTTACTTTTATTTTACTCCAAAGTATTCGTTATCAAATTTTGTTTGAAATTTAAAATAAATGTCAGATTACCATGGCTTTTAAAAAAATAATTTCCAAAGGAAAATAATCAAGTCATGATTTTTAAAAACATGCTTCTCATTCACATTGTGGAGCTGTATTGTCATTCCATTTCTTTGTGTGTTGCGAAATAATTTAGCAGTAAGTGTCGATTCGTTTAGAGAAAACAAAAATGCTTCATTTTGATTTCTTTTGTCCGTTTCTTTAGTCATCTTCTGAATCTACATCTCTTTGTCTCTATTACTTTCCTCCACAGCACCTTCCCCACAGGGACCTAGGATTTTCCTGTTTCCCAGCTCCCCTACACTCTCTTGTGATTCCCCACATCTTAAAAAGTCCTGTCTCCTCCTCTCGGGGTCTAGCATTAAACCTCTACACTCTAGCCATGTCAGCCCAGTTGTTCTGAGGAAAAGTGTTTCTTTCACTGAAGAGCTGCTTCTGGCTGCTTCTGGTAGGATCTATCTATTATGGCCTTTTAAGCAAACTTTTAAGGAAATGTTGTTGTGTTATTTGATACGGGGGCAATTAACACACAGCCTTCTATAACCCTGGTTTTGCTCAGTTAGCCTCTGAAAACTGCTGGCTACATGACTATTCATCCCATCTCTCACCTCTGCCCCAGGAGCTTGAAACAGCTTCAGAACTGCTTGTAGGATTTGAAACACGTAGCTTATGCTACAGAACCTTCTCCTTTACTCTTGCAAAATTTCCTTTGGTAATTGGACTAAAATAATTTACCTTTTTTTTTCAATCACCTACATTCTCTTCACTTTGTTGTTCCTGTATTTTGCATGGAGCAAATGTTCCTTGCACTTGCTCATTAATTCATTCATAGTTGGTCGAAACAATGGTTATCAGATGGCTAGCAACTCTGCTTTTTCATTTAATCTTCTAAACTAAGCCCGTGTTTTTAATTTTTCTGCCCATTTGTCCATTTCACTGACATGCATTATTTTCACAGATTTAAATTAAAGAGTTGATAATACTGCTTTTTTTTTTTTTTGTAGAAGCTATTTTGGTTAGTTTCTATTTTTTGAGTTTGTTTCATGTCCAGTATTTATGCTCTGTTTGTCTGTATTTATTATTGTATAGTCCCTGGCAATGATGTTTAGAATCAATGCCAAAGAGTAGAAGCAATTTAATCTTGTTTAATGGGACTATACAGATACTAATATTTTTGTTTCCTTATCCAAGAACAGCTAAAAATATTTGTTGAAAATCGTAGTATTTTTCTATCTAATTATATGGTAATGGTAGCCTAGTAACTCTTGAAAATGAATGAATTTAGGAATGATTTTACATACATTATTAAGTCTAGTATTATTTCTAGATCTCCCAGTCTTTTGTTAAAACAAATAACTGCACTTTGATGTATATTTATGGTTTTATTGACCTTTATCAGATGCTTGATCAGAAGAAAAAGGAAACTAGCAAGGAATTGTTATGTTAAATTAGTTACAAATTCTGTAAAAGAAAATCTTGGCTTCATTCATAACTGTTTGCACTGTGGTGTTTGTATTTCATCCTGCTCCTGACACCTTTTTGTTCTTTATCCTGTGCTTTCCTATACAACTTAAGTGTTTATTTTTGCTTTGTCGAATTAGCCCTGATGTCTTTAGAAACAAGGAATACCAATGATAGTATGTCTTTAGCCATGAAATATTACTAAGAAAATCTGATTCACCAGCATTGTGTTTACTTTAGGAAAAAACACAATCTTGGTATGTGTTTATTTTTTTTGATTTCTAACCATAGAGCACAAAATTTACTGTCATACACATAACCTGCATCTCAACACGCTCAGTTAAGGTCCTTGGGAACAGGTAATTCAGTAGCAAGGATGTCTTTGTACCTGATAAACTTTCTCTTCAGAAAAAATTCCTGTAGTGGGGGGTAGGGATGGAGATAAATCTGAAAGAAGGGAAGAGGGAATTACCCATATTATGCAAAATCGGAGTTTATCTCTTATTTTCATTTACAGATAATGTGCAGGTTATGTGTGTGCAAATATAGTCATCAAATAAGTGTGGTGGTTTTAAATGCTGAGCAGTAACCCTTGGCTTATGTGAATGAATCAGATGAGTGAATATTTCATTGCGTAAATATTAAAGAAAATAAAAGTAAATTTGAGTTTATATTTTAAATTAAAGGATGTGCATTACCATTGCAATTTTGTTTTTGCTCCTAATCATGTGTTATGTAGCTACTGCTGTAATTATGTGTCCAGTCTCCTACCAGTGGTTAGGAAAGGTGATTTAGTTACTCTGAAGCTGTTAGAAAGCCAGATTTTTATTACTTTCATTTAAAAAAAAAAAAGTAATGATAGTAGTGAGAGATACTTAACTACAGAGTAATCTGGCAGAGAGGCCTCTTTTGATAGGTTATGTAGAAACCTTCTGTGAACAGCAGAGAAGGCAGATCTACATTTAAATCACAGGCAAAACTCCCCATAGCAAGAAGAAAAGTTATATGTGACGGGAAAGAAATGCAAGCCCAGATCTTCAAGTCTTTGTATTTTGGAATTGTTTTTAATTCAGATTGACAGCAGAAAAAGATCTTAGATTGGGGGGGTTTGTCCAAATGCTATAAAACTACTGCTAGTCATGTGGAAACCTAACTCTAGAATACCCCTCCCAAACCCAAATTAAACTGTGATGCTCGGCATTTTTAAAATTAAAATTATGGGGATCATTTGACTGTTTTCAATGACTATTGTATCTACTTTCTAATTTAACCTTTGATTGCAAATTATAATATATGTTTCTTTGAATGTCATTTGTACTGATACTCTTCAGGAATGGGCAGTGGGAGTGCTGGAAAAGAAGGGGGGCCATTTAAAACTCTTTTAAGACAACAGACTCAGTCAGCTCTGGAACAAAGGGTAAGGCATTTTATACTTACATTTCTGATCTACTAAAGTGAAAATTTAGCTTGTAGTAAGTTAAATGTTTCCTGTTACTTTCTGTTTAAAAATATGGGTAATTTTTGGGTTTGAAAACCTTTTTACAAATGTTGAATGTTTAGCCTTTTATATACACAGATTATTAATTTTAATATATTACTAAAGCGTTAAGAATAGAGAAGCAATTAACTGTGAACAGCACTCAAGTGGTGTTAAGAGAAAAAGTTCTAGGGAAAACTACTGTTACTTGGTTTCTGTAAATTACTGATGCGTAAGTTTAATACTTAATAAATAACGGTAAAGTTTTTACAGAAGCCAAATTCAGAAACATTGGAACAGCTTTAAACAAGGTAAAATTCCCTTTTGGAATTGGGAAGACTTTCAGTTTTGGGAAGTAGAGTTGGTGCCTAATTTAGCCTTCATTGAAGGCTAAATGAAACGTGTGTGCATGTAGCCCTTAAATGAGAACTTAAACCTGAACTACTTGCCGAGCAAAAGAAGGGGTTTATAGATTTAAGCTTTTCCTCTGTAGGACTGAAAATGCCATCTGTCATTATACTGAATAGACTGTATAATAAAAATAGTGGGTTTAATTCTTTGTTTCTGGTTGGAATGAGTCCTTGCAACTTTGTTTATAGATTACACACTGCTTTTGTCAAAATGTTATTAGTGAGGTGTCTTGAAGGAAGAAATGTGACTATTTACCTTATTCCGAAGTAAATGCAAGTTTAATTACTGTTTCTGAGCGCCTGACCTGCTGCCATAGAACCATGTATGTTTGTTTAAAACAAAACCACCTGCATCTGTGAAATATAAGTGAATAGCTGCTGTTTTGAGTAAGTGGATGATTCTCTTCTCATTTCTTGTGTTACCCATTGCTAAGGGAGGATCGCCCCATAGGTTCTGTAGACGGCGGGTATGTTGGAAAGCACTGCGCGACTCTTTGTAGCCCTTTCTTCTCCTACTGAGGATTTCTAAGTCATTATTTGAAGTATTTTCAGTTTTCTGCTTTGAGGCTTTGCGGATTTCTTTGTAATCTTCATTTATGTGTGGTGTTTTTTTTTTTTTTTTACTATTTGTTTTGTGGTTTTTAAGAGCTCTTTATCACATCAGCGTATTTTTGCTTCGTATTTTGCACGTTGATACGTTTCAGTTAAAATTTTAATTTATATATAAGTACAAATCCATGGCTTTTTAATGTTTTAATTTGGCAAAAGGAATGCTTTAAAAAGAACCTTTTTTCTGTTTACCTTGGATTTTGCTGGCATTTCAGACATTTCATGGCTGATCTCTCATTTCCTTAGGAAGCTTTTTAAAGACAACAAAAATGTAAATTAAGAGCACTTAATGTATTCTTAGAGCTTGAATTATTTGCATATTATTTTGATAAGGCCTCTGTATTGTCTAGTAGAAAAATACTGAAAAATGGGATGGAAATGTGTTGTCTGTTAATTGATAATGATGTAGCAAAGCATGTGGACTGTTAATTGATAAAAAACGTTTATGCTGTCTTCTGAAAATTTCATGTTGGATGTGTTTTTGCTATGGTGTTACCTCTTATTTATTTACCTTAAAATTGAATTACTTAACTAAAATCAATAACATTTATAAGTTACTTTGTCTGTTTTAATATTGTACACATAAATAGTGTACTCTAGTTACTTGTCTGGATTACTTAGGGTAGCACTTATTTGGGAAAACAAAGAATAAATCAAATATCTATAATATATTTCCACATGTATTAGTTATATCATGGAATCACAGAATGCTTTTTGGGTTGGAAGAGACCTTAAAGATCATTTTGTTCCAACCCCCTGCCTTAAAGATCATTTTGTTCCCCCAACAGGGAATCTTCCACTAGACCAGGTTGTTCAAGTTCTTTTGAGTCTTATTTAGTTTATTTGGATATATGGTACTGCTAAGGCACATTGAAACCAGTTCATTTAACTGGATGTCTCCACAGCTTTTAAATAAAATGTGGTTTTAATGTATTATTTAAATAACCCTGATTAGCACACTCTGTGCTGTTTGCAGAAGGGTAATCTTACTCAATTTCTTCTGTGAAAACACATCAGCTGTGGAAAACTCACATGTGTTGTATTGTAGGTTAATAACTTTAAGCAATTCACAGGATGCCTGTAGATGGCAAGTGTAACTATAGCACACATGCCTTTGTGTATATTTTTAACTATAAATCAATAAGCTGCATTTCCATCAGTGGGAAAATCTGAGCTTACTCTACCCCTAAAAAATTAGCCTCTGTTTTTGTAGAAATGGCCAAATGCTGCTCTTGATGGTATTTAGTATCTCCGTTGACCTCAGCTTGGACAAATGCTGTTTTATTCCTCCATATTTGCATTCTGCAAGTGCCTGAGAGATCTTTACCAGTGCCTTTTCAAAATGGGGATCTGTTGATCTTCATCTCTGAAGGGCATTGCTGGACACCTGTTGTGTCTGAGCTCTCCACCCAGAGAGCTCAGTTCTCTGGGTGATTCCTTTGGCTGAAATCCTGACTTAATCATCTTTTCTTTCCAGTGACTTCTTACCCAGCCCATCCCCTCAGTACAGTTCAAGAAAAACTGTAAGACTGTTGGGCCACCTTGTGAGATGGCACAGTAGATGTGCTTAGAATAAAAGCACATTCAACCAGGAAATTGCCAATATTTTAGTGTGGACCAGTTCCCCACACTGGTTCAGCCCCAAAAGCTCTATGAGCACACCTGAGCATTATCTGAGGGAGTGGTTCAACCATGGGAATGAGTGAATGGCTGGAAGGGAATTGGAGAACTGCTTCAGCTGGCACTAACACCAAATGATGTGTGTGTAGCTGTGTTCCATCTGCTTTTTCATCATTTTGTGTGTCTTTGTATGAAATGTAGTTCTAAAAAGAATACTAGCAATACATGTATGTGTGTACACAGACATTTTTAAACATTGTATTAAGCAAATATTTATGAGAATTTTATTGTAGCCTTATCAAACATCCCCCAAGTGACAACTATAAAATCTCTATGTAGTTGCAAGGATGAAAGCAGTGACAGTCTTTTGGGGTCTATGCAGTCAATGACTGTGAAGTGGCACAGTGAATTGGTATTGGTAAAATGATTGATAATCTTCAGTTGTAGCTAGGAAACTTTAAGTTCATCCTATTTTGTCACACACTGGAATACTTTGCTTAAATCACCTTGATGTAAAGATAGTCCTTTGCAAATTGTAGCAATAGAGGAGATTTATAATATGAAAACACAGCATCTGGTTCTTATGAAATCTCTGTTTTCCTGGCAGTAACTATAGATGTATAATTTTGAAGTATTACAGATTACCACATGAAATTGAGGCTGGAACTAGTATTTGAATAATATAATAATAAAACCCCCCAAACCTCTAAATGAGCTTAAAAAAGAAAAAAAAAGGAAGGGGAAAAAAAAAAAGAAATGCCATCTTATGAAGCTATGGAGTTCCATCTGTGTAAGAATGGATGAGAGACTGTTAAAGGAGTCATGTCAGAATGGTTCAGTGAGTCTGATACCCAGATTTGTCTGTGGCTGGAATTCACTGATAGGACATAGGTCTGATTTCATCATGTATTGTAATACAGACTTGCAAATATTGATATATTGATTGAGAGAAAACCGTGTCATTATTTGAGGTTTTATTCCTGATTTGTGGTGTAGGAAATCAGGCAAACTGGGAGTCTGAACACACTAAAATTACTTGCAGCACACAGCCTTATGAAAATAAACAAAAAATGAAAGTAACTTCTGCATCTCCATATAGGTTAAAAAACATTGTATTTACTTAAACTTTGGAGCATGGAGTGTTGTTTATTTTGTTCACTCCATACTGCTTTAGCATAGTTTAAGTTTGAGTATATGTATGTATATATAAAATACAAATTTTATATATAAAGCCTATATATATATAAGGCTATACAAAGTATAGGCTTAATGGAATTTCATATAGGTGGCATATGCAGTAAACTTTTTTATTGATTTCTGTAGTTCTGGAAAAGCTAATAATCTGAATGGCATTAAAGTGGGATGACTATATGCAAGGGACAGAGCAGGTGTGTATGTTAGATATTTAAAGATAAGTTAGGCAAAATGAGTGTCACAGAATTCTACAGGGAGAAATATGAGCGTACTTGAGAATTACTGAGCAATTGCTGTTTCAGAGCCACAGTGAAATAGGCTTCTAACAATATGTTTATGTACTGCATTTTTTCCATTTTTCAGTGTGAAAGACATTCAGAAAAGGAGTTTAGGCTGTTATAGTCAGAGCTTTTTTGACTATTCTGGTAACTTGCAAAGCACTTTGATCTGTTAGAACCTTCTGGGGGAATCTTTACTGTAATGCTCTCTAGAGATGCATCAATGCTCCTGAAGACACATTAGTTGAACAGGTTTGCAGAGTCCTATGGTGAAATCTTCCTGCTTTTTAATTGGATCATAAGGCATGCCTGCAGGTTTTGGTGGTTTTTTGGGTTCCTTTTTTTGTTTTTTTTTCTGGTTGTTGATACTATGGTTGCTGATTTTGAAAGTCTAAGCCCAACAAAAATACAGAAAACTTGAAATTTGTAGGACCTTTTAAAAGTTTTAACAGTACTTAAAATAGGGGCAGTAAAAATTCTGAAGTAATAATTTTTAAATTCACATTGGGTTTTAGTTTAAGAGGACTTTTCATGCCATGTATTGCTGGAAGAACTGTCATCCTCATTTAATCTGCAGCATGTGTACTGTTTAGGTAGAAGCTCAGTTGAGCTGTGCTGTTCCAAATGCTTCAAAGTATGTGAGAAAGGATTCTATCCTGTACTTTCTCTCATAAAATTATAGTATTTTATTTTTTCCATTTATCCAATTATGATTATACAAACAATGATTGCATGATTTTTCTTTTATGTTGTTTTTGCTTCTCTGCATTTAGAATTGCTGAACATGAATTATTGCCTTTCCCCCATAAGTGTGCTATTACATATAGATTAGACATTTCATAGAATGTCTTGTAGAAAATAAAATCTTCAGTTTTGGGCTCAACTCCTTTGAATAGGACTTGTTTTTCATCACGTGTAACATGAAAAATTGCTGTTATCACTTACTTTGCCTCTTGGAGAAACTGCGTTCTTGAGTAGTTTTGGAAACTTATTAGCTCTTCATTTTACTTATGAATTGGTAAAAACTAATTAATGCAAATTAATTGGAAGTGAATTTCTTAGGTTAAAGAACTTATAATTGTATTTCAAAGACTTTTTGCTTCATTCTACAAGATGGATTTTTACCTCTTATATTTAGAACTTGTGAGCAGAGCAGTCTATTAATATTTTTTAGGTATGTTTTCCTGTAATAAGTCGTTCATCATTCTTGCAAGACTACAGTTTGTTTCACCCTGTGCTGTGGAACCAAACTGCAGTCAGTTGTAACAGTAAGACCTAAAAATGGAAAAAAAATATTTACTTTGTATGAGCTAATGAAAGTAGATTTCTGTTGTTTAGTTGCCGTGGTAAAAGTGATCAATAGAGGCTTCGTCAACACAAGCGTGTGAAGTTTTGATTATTTATCACTCTTGTGCTAAGAAACACCTCTATGGGGGAAAAGTATTCTTACATTGTATAATACCTCTGCTTTTATGATACTCTGGGTATATCGAGACACATGGTTACATAGTGCTCAGTAAGCCTGAAAGACATGTTTGGCCTAATGTAACTGCTCTGCTTGTATTTCAGGGAAATGTATCGATTCATTGCATGTTTATTGGCAATCAGCAGTGGTTGGTAAGCAATCATTTGATGTTTGTTTTTAATCATAACAGGAATTTCCATTTTTTACCCTGACGACCTTTCCACCAGGCTTTCTTGTCCACGTTGGTGGTGTTGTCAGTGCTCGGTCTGTGAAGCTGCTGGATCGCATCCACAATCCTGGTATGTTGACACAAGAATGACCTCCTTGCACAGGGCCTGTCGTAGTGATCTCCTGCTTCTAATCTTTGTAACATATCAGCACTTGGATAGATACAAATCTATTCTAACAATGTATATTAGAAGCAATATTTTTCAGACAGTCGTTTAAGCTGGAAAAATGAGTTACTCAGAGGGTATGTTTTTAGTGAGAAACGTTTCAGCAAGTTAAAGAATATTATAATAAAGTACTTTGAATCAGTAACTTTGCACTGAAAATTGTCTCTGAATTATTGAGGGCTTAATTAATTTTTTTACCACTTCATAGAATTTAAACTCAATGCAAATTTTCCATTCAAACACAAATTAGATGAAATGCTTGATCTTAACTATTAATGTTTTCTAATTTTCAGCTCCTTGAAATCCTTAAGGACTAATGGCTACAATTTACCTAAATACGTGGTTTTTAACCTCTTTTGATACAACCTTGACAGCTTTGTTCTGTTCTTAAAAGCCCCGTATTGAACAGTACTTTAAGATTTTTATTTAATATTTACCTGGAAATCCCAATACTAGAATGTGTATTTTGCATGTTCTAGTTCTAATGTTAGAATTAAAAGAGTTTTGACTCTGAAGACTTTGTTGGTTTAGTCACTGAGACAAGATGAGTACTCTGTAAAAAGCTGGAGTTGACAGTGCACTTCAAAATGCAGAGGAGAGTGAAAATAGCACCTACAGTGGTTTTGCATGCACTAGTCAGAAGTAATAAAACAAAGTTTGTGCAAATGCATCTTTAAAAGCAATTGCAAAAAATAATCTTCTTTTCTTTCTTCTTCCTGTGGCCCAAGGCAAGCAATTCTCCAAGCAAGTAGATTGTTGCTGACCTAAGGATTCAATAAACTGCAACATGAAATAAAATACAGGACTTGATTTGAATTAAACACCCCTACTGTAAGGGATTTTTTAAAGCATGTGACTACACAGTATTGTTCCTTTTTTCCTATTTGTAAGATCTAGTTATACAGTGAAGATGAAAAAAAAAGTCAAAGTATAATTTAAATGCGAGTCTTCCCTTTCTTTGCCACAAAGTTATTTTAGGCTGCTGTATTTTCAACAGATCTCTTACATGCAAAATTTACTGTATGATAAATTTATTTAAGACAAAATGGAAAAAAAAAATCAGTTTTGCTCAGAAGTTTTAAATAACCTCTTACATTATGGACTCCTTTATTTTTACCAACTGACTGAAAGCAGGATAAGAAATAAGATAGAGATGCGTGTTTGCACAGCTGCAGTTGTCTTTGTGGGACTTGAAAATTACTCCTGACAAGTGAATGTAAAATGTGTGCTGCCTGGAACTCCGTGTATTGCAAAAGGGGGAATGAAGGCACATGACTATGAGAGGGAAGGTGAAGTAAAAAAAAGAATCTGGTTATAGTTATGATCACGAAGCATTTGAGTCAAATAAGTCTGTGAAGTATTAAAGGAAGAAAATAACCTGGCAGATGAATAAATCAGGAAAATGCAGAAGAGGAAAGAATGTTTGAAGGTGGATTGAGAACTTACAATAAGACAATAATTGCTATACACTGTACCCTTTGGTCACCCTAGTGCTAGATTGCTATAGCATGCTCCTTTTTTCCCTTTCTCTTTCAGCCTCTTATTAACTCTGCTGTCTGTGTCTTTCCAGTTCCTGTGGATTGGTGTTGTCAATTGTGTTCTTGTTGGTAGTTTTTTTTCACTATTCTGCTCCTATAACTGATCTACTAATTTGCTGTTTTGAACTCAGCCTTTGTCGGAATTATGGGTAACACAAGATCATACAAACTGCTAGACTGGAATAGTTTCAATTCAGGTATTTTACTAGTCATTCAGTACTACATATGCTGACAGAAATTATGGCAGCTCAGTGAAGTTCTTAGAAATGCTGTAGAATATTTAGGTTAATGCTTCAAATTTAAATCTCTTTAATCATCAAATGCCTAAATGTCATGTTTTAATGTTGTTAAAGACTCTCTTTAAAATTACAAACCGTTGTTTTAGTATAAACTAGTATCGCTAAGAATAATTTAATATCGATCTGGAAAGCTGAATGTTCAGATATTTATTCTGTACTAGCTTTCAGCTCAGCATCCATGAAGGAAGTAATTTAGGGAAAGAGAATGGATTCTTACTTATACAGTTGAGATCATGTCAGGTGTGGATTTTTTTTTTTTGCTTTGGTTTAGTTTTTTGTTTGGTTGGGTTTGGTTTTTTTTTTATTTAATGGGTTTTTTTTTTGTTTATTGGTTTGATTTGGGGGAGTCTGTGGGTTAGTTTTGTTTTGTTTTGCATGAGCTTGCACGTTCTTTAACAGTGGCTGTACTTCTGTTATTTCAGGAAATTGATTCATATGTTTGTTCTAAATAATAGATGTAAAAATTGCCCAAAAGAATGAAAAATAGAGAACTATCTGTTTAAAGAGAAGGGTACCATGTAGTCCAGGATTTGTTGGTTCATAAATCTTGTATTGTAAAATGCAATCAGCTTGCAGGAATTACAGCATAATTATTTGAACTTTTAAATCACTCTAATACCTAACTTGGAAAAAGCCCCTATATTCTATTTTTTATGCAATTTTAGGGATCAAAGTATATAACTTCTTTAAACAACTGCAGAAAGAATAGGTGGGTTGATGATGCAGTTTATACGAAACCTGGCGTGTTAGGGGGAGAAATAAAGACTTTCCCCCTTCACCCTCTTCCTCTGGAAAGGTGACATGCTTTGGAAGACAGGCAGGCATAACTTGTCTACACATAACATCCAAGCCAGCAGACCTTGCCAAACTTTGATGTTTTTTAAAGCTGGCACAGTAAAAAAGTACAAAGCTGACCTCTTGGGGGTTTGTTTCCCATGGAAACAAACTTTCCTTCTTGGTGCTTCAGTGTTGTAATGCAGCTCTGGGTCATGCTCTAAAGTTCAGCTTAAGTTATCTTCTATACATTTTCCATGTTACAAGTAGTTCAATAATAGGTAGAGCCTAAAACTGATTTTTGTGTGCCTGTCCCTTGCTACAAAGAGCATTCTGTGATATTATAATTATGAGCTTTTCTGGTTTTGTTGGTTTTCTTTGCTTGTTCTAAAGTGATAATCTTTTATAATTAACTTTCAGTATGAAAATTAAATTTCAGTATGAAAAGAATATTATAAAATTCTCAGATCTATTACTGGTGTAGCATAGTCTGATCCAAGGTGTTAAAAATGGGTCAAAATTTTTTGTCTTGTATGCTACCTTGAAAAGTTTGAATTAATTATTGCTTCTTCCAGACCATGTTTAGCAGGATGTTACCATAGAAGAATTATAGTAGAATAATGGAGTAATTTAGTTATGTACAGACAGGAAACATGCCTTGAGCTGGGCTAGAAAGTGATCCATAATGTAAGCCTGGGAAGCAAAATGAAAGTCATGAATTTGTTTCTTGACAGAATATCCAAAACTGTAGTCTGACTTTTTTTTAGAAATTGCAGGAAAAAGAAGGCATATATATATATATATATATATATGTATATATTCATGCATTTTATACCCAGAGGAGCTTGTTACCTAAAAATATTGGAGTAGAGAGGTCCAAACCAAACAGTCATTGTAGAGTTAATACCTTGCTGAGAGCTGTCTGAGACACTGAGAACAGTGTTTCTGTTGCCTGACCTGTGTCAGTAGGTCTGTAGTAAGAGCTGATTAATCCTACTGATTATGGACTGAGCAGGTTACACCCATATTCCTGGAATTCTGTTTCTGTTGCAGTGCTCAGTGTGCTGCAGGACAGAGAAGAAAGGAGGAAGAGAGTAAATCGGTCACTGATATGTAATAACAGAATTGCAGATTGCATCCAAGTTTACTCTGTCCTAGACTGGAATAATGAATATCCTGTGCAGATCTGTCACTGAGAAACCAGAGGAGAACATTTCTATTCATCTCCACCTTCTAGAGCTTTATTGCTAACTCTGTCATTATTGGCTAATTCTTGGCCTAAAGGAGAGTAGGGATTTATACAGCTTAGGGAAAACAGTGCTACAGCTTTACATGTAAGCAAGAATGTAATCACAACCCTAAGTGGGCTAAAATTATTATCCTTTCTGAAAATGTTCAGGCTTCATTTCAGCTACCTGCGTAGCATAGAAGGATATTTTTTTTTTTTTTTTTTTTTTTTTTTTTGCAAATGGCAAGGAGATTGGTTTAATTCTGTGTAAGATACAACAGGAACATCTGAAAAGTCAGAGATTTGAAGGTGCTTGAAAATCAGACATGGAAGTAAAAACTGACTATTTCATTAATGGAAAAGAAGCTGCTTAAACATCTGGGAATTGCATATAGTTTGATGACAGAATTGGCTACAAGTTTGTAAAAATGCAAAAAGGGTACATAATACAGTGGAAGATACACACTGGTGCTGTCTCTGAAAAAGAATGTTAAGGATATACTATAAATATAAAACTGTTGAAGGAATCCTGGATCCTGAAGACTGGATCTTTGTTAAAAAGTTTGCTCTGAGGTTAAATGCAGAGCAGAAAGGTTCCTTAGGCAGTGCAAGAGCTTGTTGAATAGAGGCTGCTTTTCCATATGGCTGTTTGATAGCACCAACATATACAGTATTCTCACACAGTTAAATTTTAAACTCATCTAGGAAGCTGCTCCAATAGTTCTTCAGCTCCAGTAGTCAGAAACATGGAAGGATAAAAGATTGTTAAGAAAATTCCTAAGCATCTCCTGAGCTCCTTGTGTGATATCCAGTCTCGCCACTGGAGTGTGAAATCCTCCGGAGCTTGTTTTGTGTGTGAGGAAATGCAAGAGGAAAGCTCAGATTCGCTTTGGTTCTGTAACTGAATGTTTTTCTTTCACAGAAACACAAACATCAGTGAATGCACAGATTACATCTTGTGCTTCTGTCTGGGGTGTAAATGTGGCCGATTTGTAAGAACACAGTGGAAAATGTCAGAATGTTGATGTTGGTGTCTGATGTGGGTATCCTTCAGAACTAGTAGGAAAACCCCAACATTTTAAGCTTGACCTCTTGCCTTTTCTTGGAGAATTTCCAGGTTGACTTTTTGTCCATCAGTGTGTGTTGATATGATAACGGGAAGTTAAAGCAGTTGTCAGAGGCTCTTTCTGAGCAGAGTGAGGGGTTTTTCAGTAATAATTTACTCTAGTTTTCTGCAGCCTTTCCAGAGGAGTGAATATTTCTAAGTAATTTTTATGGTTAATATGTATGGTGTTTGAATATTATTTCTTAAAGCAGATACACCCTTGTATGTTAATGAAATAATTTTCTTTGGAACTGTGCATTAATTTTTTTTGGTAGATATTTATATAACTGAACAAAGAGTGATCACTGTCAGTGAGCATAGAATAATATTCACATGTTCTGTTAGAAATTTATAAATTAATAAACTTGGCATTTAAAATCTTTGTTCAGAATTCTTTACCTAAGTATAACTAATATTATTTAATCTGTTCATATTGACTTAAAACTCTCTCTGAAATCTGGCTAATGGTGTGAAAGCCAACCCAGACTATTCCTTGCACAAATACTCAAAAAAAGCTCTTGCTTATTGCACAACTACAGTTTGTCTTTCAATTGATAGGAATAAGAGAGGGAATCTTGGTCTTGCAGAAAATTGTTATTCTTGCACATAACTCTTCCTAATTTCAAAATATGGGTCTTGATTAAAACTATTATCTTGATAGCATTTCCTTCATGGATTGCAATGAGTTTTTTCCAGTCTTGTGATGTTTCATCATGTGGTTGCAAACATACAGTTGTAGAACTACTTTCCTCGCTCAAAATATGTTATTCTTAGAAGAAAACTAGGATGATTCTGGTTGAAAGGGCACCTTCCCAACTGCTACATAATTACAGGTAAACTTGTCCTTGTAAAATGCCTACGGACAGTATTGTAGGAAAATATATAGACAGATAACACAAATTCTAGCTGACTGTAATAGGATTATAGAAGTAACTGTGATAAGTGTTAGTGGATGAGATCATGATCTGAGCTGAATGAGGCACAAGAGATTTTCTTTCTAAGTGCACAGACTGAAGTTCCTCAATACGTCATGATTCTTAAAAAGAAATACCATAGTCGTGGCTTGGTTTTTGTTTCCTGGTTCAGTTTGTACTTTAGATTTTGTTAGACAGTGCAATTTGTCTTTTGCACTAATATTTTGACTGGGTTTTGTAAGTTGTGGGGTTTTGGTCTCTCTCAATGCAGTCTCATTGAGGTCCTGAACTTGCTCCAAAAAGCACTTCTTGGATTCAGAAGTTCAAAGAGGTCTTTCTGACTAGTTTGTCTTAAAATAAATAGTTGTGAGTGTATAGAAATAATGAATACAGAGATACTGCATTCACAAGGAATCACAAGGGATAGGAAATTCAGAGGCAGTATCATTTTGTGCCAAATAAGGCCATCCCATTTCTGCAGTTATAAAATAGATTAAATGTGTTTTAGAAAGACCTGTCTTATTACAGTGTAGTGTGCCCAGCTTTGGGTAATAGGCACTTTGCTGTGGCAATCTGAAGCTGTCCTTTGAAGATTGCTCATGTTTTAAAATAGGTTGCATTTATTGTGCCAAGATGACAAAGGAACAGAGACACAAAATAGAATAAGTAGTTACTTTATTACTTAGCGTGGACTTCACCATTCTAGGATGAATGGCTGATCAAAAGAATAACTGTAAGCTGGACTGACAAAAGTACATATTTAGGCCTGGAACCGGTTTTCCAGAGGCAAATTTATTTCCTATATTTAACATTTTGTTAGTTCTGGACAGTAGTTTGAGCTTTTATAATTCTAAGGGAGCATGTTGATGTTGAGAAT